AATACATAGGTTGCTTACTGTTCGAAAACAACGCTTATGCGTTCTACTTGAACAGCCCTTATTGTCGAATACAACGCACATGCGTCCTATTCAAATTTTTGAATTTTTTGAAGAACTCGAATTCAATGCACATCATACTTGCAAGCGCACGTCGTGTGGGGCGTTCCCTACGTGCACTGCAGGCGCCCAACCGATCCCGTGCGGCACACGACGTGTGCGGGGAACGACCCGTCACCCCCCTCAGAAAAAAACAACAAGCCGGGGTCGAAACGGTGCGTTTGAGGCTGCCCGCCAAAATTATAAGCGGGATGAATTTTTTTTTTACAGCAGTGCTGCCTCACCTTGCTCCTCCTCCCCTTCCTCATCCTCCATGTCTCCTCCTCCCTTCTCCTTTTCGTCTCCTCCTCCTGCCCTTCCTCATCCTCCTTGTCTCCTCCTCCTCCTCGTACTTCCTCATCTTCCATGCCTCCTCGTCTCCTGCCCTTCCTCGTGTCCTCCCCTTCCTCTCCTTCCGCGCCGTCCATGTCTCCTCCTCCTCCCACCCGTCCTCCTCCTCTGCCCTTCCTCTTTTCCCTCCGTCCATCTCTTCTCCTCCCCCATCTCGACTCCTCCTCCTCGTCCTCCTCGCCCACATCCTCCTCCTCCTCTCCATATCCCCCTCTCCTCGCCATATCCCCATATTCCTGTCATACGCCCCCCCGTCCCCCCTCCCAAAAAAAGTTAAATTCTCAATAGATATTTTAATATATTATTCAAAATCACTTTGAAAAGAAGGATAGATTCAGAATTAGATAGATACTAGGTCATTTTTATCAAGTCTATTTGATGTATAGTATGATTAGTATCATATTTTCTTAAATGACTAACTCCATAAATTAGAAATTATTATACGATTAATAGTATCATTATACATATATTTACAAATATATAATCTAATATGTATAGAGTCTATAGACTATATTTGTAAATATATCTTAATAATAATTAAAATAAAAAACCTGCACGATTCCGCACAGGCGCCCCCCGCATGGAACTCCGCACAAATGTGCGGCGTGCGGTTGTAAGTATGATGCACATACATTATTATGTTCTGGGGAAGACGGCAGTGGAAGATCAAATCATCCGGATGCAAAAGGGCACCCCACCGGCAATCTGTCTGACTGGGAGAAAAAAAAAGAAAACCTCCACAGCCAATCAAAGACTCGTTCAAAAGCACTCAAGAGCCAATCAAAATTCACATGAAGCACTTAAGCTCTCACCTTCACACTGTCGATGTAATCATTAGCTTCGACATCAATTTCTGTTCCGGAAATCCCCTTGTATACATACTGCCATGTGAAAAAAACGATGTAGTCCTTTTGTCAGCAAAACTCTGTGCGGGAACCACATTGATTTCACAATGACATTTAAAAAGGCTGAAAAAAAAAAAAAAAAAAAAAAAAAAAACACTGCAAGATTGCAAGGTACAGTGGCACATGTACAATTGCAGTCTGCGAAATTTCAAATTTGCGTTTCTCTGAGAAAAAGCTGTCTTTTGGCCTGATTTGCAGTAACCTGGGTAGGCGCCGAGTAGGCCAGCAGGTAGAGTTATCATGATGGTATCGACCTGTATGTAGTCAGGAATAGCTCCAGGTACAGGTCTAACAGGTAGAATTACAGTCTCCAATGATGTTCCTACCAAAAGGAGGCAATACGCAGGCTGGGTAGCACACGCCATAGGTAACAAAATAGGCCAAGTGAGGAGGTACGAGGCCGGAGGCAAGAGTATATCATTCGGTAAAATGACCGCCATCTTCTTCACTTGAATAGAACGCCCGATCATTATAGCTAGCTGTATTTGGGGCAAATTCCAGCCTAGATACAGATACAATGATGGGTGTTCCATTCGGGTGAAGACGGTAGCCCAGCTATTCACACGGTAGTCATGCTGCTGCTCCACCCTGAGGGAGAGTGAGGCAGAGCACTGGGAGGAAGAAGGAACACAGGTCGAGGAAGAAGACCTCCATGATGGCTATGGAGGCGGAGCAGTAGTAGTAGGGAGAAGGCCTAGTGTTGCATACCGTAAAGGTGCAGACCAGAACAAGAACTGACCTCTCTCACATAGTACAAGATAGCGCAGCAGAAGGCTAGTATACCAATGATCAGATCAATCAATGTCGTAATGCAGACCAAACATACATCATCATGCCATGGTGTGAGAGGGGCTGATGCTCAGACAGGAAGAGTGCGCCAGTCCCCAGCCATACACAGGCGAAGAAGAGGAGGGTTAGACGAAGAAGAGGGAAAGATGGGAATGTCGTCAACACCAAGTCTTCAGTACAGGTCCCAAATAATCCCCCGTCCAATGTCTCAATCCCAATGTCGAGTCTGGATCCAAATGTCGTCAAGTCCCAAAGTCACCAATCTCTCTCTCTCTCTCGTAGTCTGCAGATACTGAGAAGTTAGGTAGCGAGAGGGTGAGGGAGAGATGGTGGACTTGGAAGAGGAAGAAGAAGAACTCTCTCTCTCTCTCTCTCTCAGTCCGGTACTAACCTGTGAAGGTGGCACCTTGTTGCAGGTACATCGAAGACGAAGCTGGAACTATGGCGCCACAGGTAAGTCTCCCTGGCCTCCGCCAACCATCTCTCTCTCTCTCTCCAACGCTACTCTAGCTCCTAATAGCGCCCAGCGCTGAAGACTACTGCTAACGCTACTACTACTACTGCAGCACTCCTCCAGAGTGCCTGCTGCCGAATCCTGAAGACTGCCTCCTACCTCCTGCACGTGAAGTGCCTGGGAAGTCCTTATGAACTACCTCGTGACTACCTGTGAAGTGCCTGGCGGACCAGTACTATATAGTGCTGGTCCGGCAGGGAGGCTGCTCTTGCCAATGCCGAAATGTGCCAGACCCTGGCGTTGAAGTTCAAACAAAGGTTGTCTTGAAACAGGCCCAAAAATGGCCTGTGCTAAAACCCTGGTCTGGTGCCTAAGTCTCAGGGCAGGTCAATCTTATGAGGGCCTGAAAATGGCCCTCCGTTTCAGGCTGAAAAGATTCAGGGCCTGGAGGGCCCTTTTTAGGCTGAAACGACACAGGGCCTGTAGGCCCTCGTTTTCAGGTTTTCAGGCTGAAACGACACAGGGCCTGTAGGCCCTTGTTTTCAGGCTTTCAGGCTGAAACGACACAGGGCCTGTAGGGCCCTTATTTTCCGTCTGGTCGGGCCCTGCAGGCCCGTGTGGCTGCGCAGTATGCCACACCTAGGCTATAGAGATGGACAAATGCAAATTGAAGTCAATGCCAGGGCTTTAGATTTTGCTGCTGATGCATAGAGTGCATGGCATGCGACACATCGTGCCACAATCACCCTAGGCTTCAAGGGAGGTGAAAGGGAAGAGTAGAGGTAGAGGAGGAAGAAGGAGAGGACCAATGGAGAGACTTACCTTTGGCTATGGTAACCTTCATCCCCACTTCCTTGGTTAGCGCTGCATCTAGACGGCTCCTGCTGGGGTACCAGTTCGACATGGACTTCGTCTGAGAGTGTGGCTAAGGTGGTAGGATATGGGAGAGGCATGGTAGAACTGTGTTTTGTTGTCCTTTCCACGTCCGTGCTAGGCTTAGGTGGAAACACTATAGTCAGTTGTGGTACCATAAGGAGAGGAGAGAGGGAGAGAGCTAAGGGAGGATTTAGTGACTTTAGTCCGGGGAGTAAGGAGGATCATTTACTTATTAGTAATTACTTTTGTACATAATAATCGTTAATAACAGGAGGAGGTGACCATGTGAGGATTGATAATGACGGTGAGAGGAAGGAGATGGCATTCGTTCAATCTTCTGTTCTCCGTCGTCTTCTTTCTTTTTCAATTATTCTTCTCCTGTCGTGCAAATCCACGTCCTCCTAAGTTTACAACGGTGTACGGCATGGTCTCACAGCATACTCAAAACCTATTAGGAGTTTTGGGACTTTTATGACTTGTTTATGGATGTAATTGCGGCCAGATACATCCACGTCCACAATCTCCAACAATATGCAGTACCCTTATCCACTTTTTTCTTTTTTTTAATCAGATCTATCTAGCAGCAGGTTAACCAAACATGCTGTGTCCCCCAAGAAAAACAAAACAAAACAAAATAAAACAAAACAAAGAAAAGACGTCGTGTGACCTGTAAATTGCAGCAGCAACCCAAACGGATGTCAGGCAATGGAATCGCTCGCCCAAGGGTTTGCTTCATGACTGCCAACCGGACGTCTGCACTGGGTCCCGATGTCTGGGTTCAGCATCTGCTTGAGCAGGTCCGGACTGCCCCCCCAAAGTGCAAATAAAAATAAAAATCGGGGTGCCCAGGTGGTTTTCCAGGTCCTGGGTGGCCCCCCACAAATGTCTGCGACATTTTTTTGCCTTCGGATGCCAACCCAGACATGCCCTGACGAGCTGGGGACTCAGTGGGGGAGGATAGTCGTGAAGTTGAGGATCCAAAAATCCTCCCACCAATGTTTGGACTGCTGGCCCTCACCACCCGCCGCTGCGCAGCATCCAGTGCCATCTAGGCCGTGCCCTGCCGAGGAGAGGAGCACAGGACCATCACCCGTTGTAGAAATGCCGACGAGATTGCCGTTGCAGTGGATCAGGGGCCAGCCACCACCGAGGTCACTATCTCTTTCTCTCACTCTCTTTGTGTCTTCCTTCGTAAATTCATTGAAATTCATTCGGTTTCCTAGAAATGAGAAATGTTGAAATGTCGACCTTTTCATCAGGAGGGGGACGGATGGAGTCGAGCAGGAGGGAGGGTGGGGGTGGGGCAACAAGGGTAAGTTGTTACAATCAAGGGCGAGGAGGGTCGAAGGGAGGGACAGGCAACTCTCTCTCTCTCTCTCTCTCTCTCTCTCTCTCTCTCTCTCTCTCTCTCTCTCTCTCTCTCTCTCTCTCTCNTCTCTCTCTCTCTCTCTCTCTCTCTCTCTCTCTCTCTCTCTCTCTCTCTCTCTCTCTCTCGCTCGCTCGCTCGCTCGCTCGCTCGCACGCCCGCGGAGGGTCAAAGGGAGGGACGAGCAACTCTCTCTCTCCCTTTCTTCCTTCGTAAGTTCATTGAACTTCATTCGTTTCTTGAAAAATGAGAAGTTTTTGGCAGTTCTTGCGATAGAGAGCGAGGAGGGACCGGCAACTCTCTGCGATAGAGAGCGAGGGAGAGAATGAGAAATGTCGAAATGTCTACTTATTCATTAGGAGCGAAGGGATAGAGTCAAGGAGGAGGAAGAAGGGGGGAACGGTGGAGGACGACAAGGGTATGTTTTCGCAATCAACGGTGAGGAGGCTTGAAGGGAGGGATGGACGACTCTATTTCTCTCTCTCTCTCTCTCTCTCTCTCTCTCTCTCTCTCTCTCTCTCTCTCTCTCTCTCTCTGTCTCTCTGTAAGTTCATTTGTTTTTCGGTATGGACTCTGGAGAAATGTGCACTTTTCATGGTATTGTTCGTGAAGACGGGGAGCGATGGAGTTGAGGAGGAAGAGGAAGGGGACGACGATGAGGGTAAGGGCTTTTTTTGTCTCATGGATGAGGATGGGGGGGGGGAGGACGACGAGGGCAAGGAGGAAGAGGCGGCACAGCTCGATGTGAAAGTTTTTTTTCTTTTTTAAAGTTTTTTTTTTTCCGTCTGGTGGGATTTTGGATCAGGCGCAGCTCTGCCATGGCGTCAATAGTCGATCAACCAATCAAGATTGATCGATTGATTGATTGATTGATTGGTTGGTTGATTGATTGATTGATTGATTGATTGATTGATTGATTGATTGATTGATTGATTGGTTGGTTGGATGGTTGGTTGATTATGGATGGTTGGTTGATTATGGACGGGCTGGGAGGAAGCGGAGGAGGAGGAAGAATGGGGTCAAGAAGGAAAAACGTCGAAGGTGGTGAGACGGATCAGTAGTGGGGGCTAAAGGTCGAGAAGGGTCGAAGGAAAGGATGGGCGACTCTCTCTCTCTCTCTTAGTAAGTTCATTTATTTTTTGGATTTCAACTTTCAAGAAAGTGGAGTTCTCTTGGCGTTGTTCCTTATGAGGGGAGGATGATGCAGGTAAGTTTCTTTTTTTCCCCTGGCGGATGTGGAGGGGGGTTGAGGACGATGAGTTAGCGTTGTTCCTTATGAGGGGAGGATGATGCAGGTAAGTTTTTTTTTTTTTCCCTGGCGGATGAGGAGTGGGGTTGAGGTGCTTGAGGACGATGAGGGTGTAAGTTTTTTTTTTTTTTTTTTTTTTTTTTTTTTTTTTTTTTTTTTTTTTTTGAGGGGGTTTCGCTTCAGGTGCTGGTCGATGTGTAATCTTTTTTCCTTTTCTTCGCAGCATTCTTGAGCCTGTCTCTTATACACATCTAGATGTGTATAAGAGACAGGCCGGACCCTATCTTGTGACCTATCGGTGTGATCTACCTCCTACCTCCTTCGTCTCTCCTCCCACCTTTCATCTGTG